ATTTCTGAAATTTTTGGCGGCCTGACTCGGAGTCTAATTCAATTTGGTGATTATCGCAAATTGAATTTGCTTGGCCACTCGTGCATGCCATCAGGAAGTTGGGCATCGATTTAATTCGAGTGTCTCCGCAGACAACTCGTTACTACAAATTGGTAATTGAAATTGGAAATGTGTTATTAGAACAAAGGAGTCTAATCCGTTTTATTTTTTGTTTTATGCTATTATCATGACATTTCATGGGCTTGATGCGAGATTTAACATCATCCCAAATTATATTTCAATTTAGGGATATTTTTGTCACAATTAAAAAAATATCACGCTAAAAAAATGTACTAAAAAAGAAAGTCCGAAGAAGTTCCTTTAATAAGGAATAATATGAATTCTTTTTAAGTAAAAAACATATTTTATTTGGATGTCCGATGTAAGCTAAAAATCTTCTTAAAGTATTAAATAAAAATGAACTCTTTTATCGAAAAATTCAATATTCATTCATTATTTTGATGTAAGCCTAAAATTGTTTGATTGAATCCATCTTATCAAGGCATGCGTAAAAATATAAGATTGGAAAAGATTCAAACCTTTTACACTGCGCTAAATATATTCAAATTTTGCAAGTTTGCTTCTAGACTTGATTCGGGTACACAAATTTTAGAACGGCTATGAAAGTTTTAGATCGCTTAACTTTAAACTGAGCTCGCAAAACGTATTAAAACCGACAGTCAGGCGGAAATGACGATATCGACTACTCTAGTTAATCTGGTCAAAAAGTTTATAGGGTCGTAATCAACTTCTTGACTGCGTTACAAACTTCTGACCAAAATTATAAGTCTTCGGCAAGGGTATACAAATTACAGCTTCCTTGTATCCGATCGTATTTTCATCTAATCAGAAATAAAACATTTTATAATATTTTAGAATTTCTAATTTAAAACTAAAATGTCAAAACTAATGTCAAAATAAAAACGGAACAGCTGTAATAAAATAATAAAATAATAAAAATATAAAATATAAATTGTTGTATATATAGGCATATCCATCGTAAAGTTACATTTTGTTATGTTTCTCTCATAAATTTTGTTTGCTTCTTTTAAATCGAACAGATATATTATATAGCTGTTAGAGAAGTGTTACTCCAGGGTATTAATATTCCGCTTTTTTCTTATTTTTATAGTTAAGCGATTTGCAATTTAAAATATAAATTTTTTTTGTAATTTAGGTTCTTAAAAGAAAGTTCAAGGTGACCATTTTGAAAAATTGATAGGAATTTTTTTTTTCGTGGAAACCCTTTGCATTTTTTTTCATTTTTAAAAGATTTATTTTACATTTAACATATACTTTGACATGTACTTTAATTCTAAATATTTGATTTCCAACATTGTTTTATTTTTTTCCGCGGAAACCCTTTTTTCTGCTCATTCATTTTTTCCTTGACGCGTCCTAATTAGTAAGGGTATAAGGAACCCGAAAAAACATGTAATTATATTTTACAAGCCATTTCCCCATTAACGTGGAACTTGTCCTTCTTAAATGCGTTTTTTATACATTTTTTGTTTTAAATACACTTTTAAACTTTTATATTAATACAATTATGTTTTTTCAAAGTTTTTTTTTCTTAGTTCAAACATTTATTTGTTCCTCATCCTATTTTTAATTTACCTTGGGAGGATGGGCGTGTTTCGGAGGAATTTTCTTCTTTATTCATTTTGTGAGGTTTTCGTAGATTATGATTTTCAATTGCACGGAGTTTAAAAGTTGGTTAACGATAAGCACCTTTTGATTACTATTTAAAATTACACTTTTAAAACACACTTTTGGAGGACAACTCATTAAGCTCCATAATTATAAAAAGGCGACGGCAACTGAACTGAGGAGTGTCCTGCGAATTCCGCTGATGAAACCGAACCAAACCGATCCGACGGCGCTTGCGAATGAGCGGCGATGATGATGTTAACGTCCCGATGTACGATTTCAGATTCTGGATTTCAGATTTATCATAAAAGCGTGACAGGAGGCTAAACAGTGATGTGTCCACTCCAGCAGGCGGCCAACCAGCCAACGGGCCAACCCCGGACTAGGAAAAAACCATATCGCAGGATATAATCCGCGGTCGCTGAGAGGGTGTGTGTGTGAGGACAAAAAGCACAGCACAGCACACAAACACACGCACACACAGCAGCAGCAGGAAGAGCAGAGAGCATCGAGCAGCGAGCAAGGAGCAGCGAGCGAAGGATAACCACATACCACCCACCAACCCACCTACCGACGGAGACTTTTAGTGGCAACTCTGGTGGCGCATTTGCTTGTTGGCTTGCTTTGATTCGTTCCTTCTTGATGCTGCGGCAGCAGCATGTCCTTGCCGTCAGTGTGTGTGTGTGTGAGTATGGGTAAGCCAAGCCACAATCGCAATCTCCAATAAACACCCGGCTCTGCGCTCTCTGCGCACACACACAGGCAAACAGCAGAGAACTTTCGGCTCGGTCGCCATCATGACTCACAAAAAGGTGGAGAGAGGAGAAGGGGAGCAGGAAACGGAAGTGGGAGAGAGCAATGGTGGCTCCCCACCAATACAACCATAAACCGGATGACGCAGCTGCGCGGCTGGCGCTCGTATAATCGTCTTGGGTTTTGACATTTTGTTTTTGTTTTATAATACCCTTTGTGATGTCGGCGCTTTCGAGTTGGCTCTGCATGGCCTTCCCCTCGTCAGATCTGCCCCCTTTCCGCTCCTTGACCCTCTTCAAACGACGTCACTCTTGGCCTCGTCTTCTAACCGCCACCACCCACAAGTGCCACCTCCCAGTTAACTGTAATTGAATTGGAGAGAACTGTTTTTGCACGTTGCTCTGTGGGTGTAGTTTCATCCTATATAAAGTATACCCAAAAGTACATACAATAAAACCCAAGGAATTTTAGTAAACAATTTTAAATAATACAATCATTTTTATTTTAAAAACCTTTTTACTCATAAAATCCATTAAAAAGCTCAGGGGAGAACTTTTAACACGAGTTGTTAAAAGAATACTTTTAAAAAAGCTTAAACGATTAAATTTTTTAATTATTATTGGTAAATAATTACAATTTACGATTTGTTTCAATTTTAACGGTACAATGTTTTAGAGAAATCGCAGTTTTCATTTGCTTTCATGTTTCCAATTAAAGCTATATAGTTTATATAGTTTATTCTCGCTTGTCAAATATAGATGAGCTTGAGCTTCTTCCAAATAATAAAGTGGTCTTTTGGGAGAAATAAAAAGTAAACCTTTAGTACGAATAATGTCGATAAAGTTTTTTAAAGCATCTTAACATTTGGTATAACTTTATAAACTTTTAAACCGTAACAACAATGTAAATAAAATTTAAAGTAGTGCCTTAGATTTGTAAAGTTAAAATGAAACGTATTTATTTAGAAAATAAAAATGTAATTTACACTTAATTGTTTGATACTGATTTACTTTTTAGAATGTATTGTTGTTGATTTTTTTTTATATTTTATTTCCCTGACGCTAGCTGGCCCCAGTACCTCTAATCCAATAATCGATAAATGTTGGTTGTAGGATGGGATGAAAATGGTATGGAAATGGGTGGTATGGGGGTTCCGTTACGCTCCTCGATTTTGTTGTGGGGCTTTTGCCATGCTTAATGCGCCGACATTAACTTTGTAACAAATGAGATGTCGGAATACAACAGTCAGGATCCTGGCAAGCCACAGCCCCTCCTCTCGCTCTCTCCCTCGCTCCTTTCTCCTATCTCTTTCTCCATCTCTCTCTTGGTGGGGGAGAAAGCAAGAGAGAAAGCTGGCAGAAGTTTATGCTCGGGACAAAAGTGAACAAATGCAAAAGTCAAAGCGCTTTGCCGCCATAGCCACGCCCACTACGCCGAGGGAGGAGCGAGAGAGAGCGAGAGAGCGGCTTTATCCTGTAGTGGCCAAGGATACCCGGTTGTGCGAGCGGGACAGGCTATGCCGTGCGAGCGGGACGAACAGAGGCGACAGGGTTGGTTCTTGACATTTGAACGGCGACATTTCGCATTGCCAGGATATCAGGATACATACACGAATACACCCACACCGACAAATCTCTGCGAAGCCCACCCACAAAAAGGAGGGCTACAAACCTTATCAAGTGCGGTGCACTTTATTTAATCAATCAAAATTCATGGACTGCCTCTTTTATTCAACATTCAGACACTTTGTACCTTTGATTTACGTTCCTGTAAAATACATTTCTTTAATACCAGGTTTTCGCCTCGACATTTTATGTTAAAGTCGTTATAAAATCTGAGTGCCGAGGCAATCATTATAAAAATGTATTTCTAACATTCGGATTCTAAAAATGGAAGTGTTTCACGTTATGATTTCAACCTCTCTGAACGTTCAAAAAGGGTTCCTTATCAACTAAAACTAATGAACAAACATTTCAAGATAACAAATACACCAAACATGTTTCGTAAAATCACAAGTTTTTATAGAATAGGGAAACATTTGTAACTTAGTAAAGAACATATTTGCCATTCAACTATATTTTTAAAGCTCATTCAAGTAAAAGAGTTATATATTTAGACATAAAAAGCTTTAAGTATTTAAAATGTTTACACTTATGTCCAATTTAATCAAACAAACAAATACAAATGTTTCATTGAAGCTTCTCTGTCGGTGTCTAGATTTTTTGTTTCATTTTCCAAATAATCATTGACCTCTTGTGTTATCAACATTTTGGGTTTTACCCCAGGGTAATCAATTTTGAATGGGAATATGTATTTTAATGATTATATCATGCAAACTATGTAAAATAAATATTAGATTGTAAGATATTTTGTAGGTGTTTTTTATGTTAAAGATTAGGCTCTTTAAATACAATAAATTTATATTCCAAAGAACGTGAAAGACAAAATAAACGGACCCCCTAACAGGTAACTCAAAGTCGAAATTAAGTCCGGTGCCTCTCGGGTATAAAAGAAGCAAATTGTTTTTAATCCACTACAGTTCGAAAATACAAATTATCATGAAATTATTGGTGAGTAAACTAGTAAACTAGGCCAAAGCAACCTAATCTAAAATGGTTTTGCCCTTTAGTTGGTCCTATTTGCCCTGGTCGGCGCTGTTTTGGCCAGACCTGGATACGACGGAGGAGCAAAACAAATTGAAGGCGGATTTGGCGCATCCGTTCCCCAGAGTGGACAAGCAGGATACGGAGGCGGACAGGGAGGATATGGCGGATCAGTTCTCCCGAGTGGACAGGGAGGATACGGTGGCGGACAAGGAGGATACGGCGGCGGACAGGGAGGATATGGTGGCGGATCCGGTCTCCAGAGTGGCCTAGTTGGACAGACAGGATTTAGTAGTTCCGTTCCCCAAAGTGGACAGAGAGGATACGGCGGCAGTCAGCAGGGCGGAGGATATGGAGGATACGGCGGAACCGTTCCCGAGATTGGACAAGAAGGATTCGGTGGCGGACTAGGAGGACCCATTCCCCAGGTCGGTCAAGGCTATGCAGGCAAGGATGTCGGTCAGAGAGGATATGGCGGATCTATTCCCCAAAATGTTCAGGGAGGATATGGTGGCGGATACGGAATTGGCAGTTCCGTTGCCCAAAGTGGACAGAGAGGATACGGTTCTTACCCACAGAGTGGTCAGAGAGGATATGGCAGCGGCCAGGTAGGGGCTGTTCCCCAGGTCGGCTTTGCCGGCGGATTTGATCATACCGAACACGATTGTCATCATCCCGGGCATGATAAGCATCACGAACATCATGGACATCATGGACGCTACTAATAACTCTTTAGTAAAAGGTCGTCTTATTAAATGAAAGCATTAAAAAATATAAAACAATATTTTCATATTCATTGTTTTATGTATATGTTTTGTTTTAAACTTTCAAAGTCGTCACATTTTAAAGCAGGGCTTTATTGTAATTTTTTACAAATAAATCCATTTATACATTACCCTTTCCATTAATTCTGAAGTTTTTTAAAATCTAACTACCCATAAATTTGCCAATTGGATAGAAAGGGGAATACGCTTTTGTCTTTCAATCTAACCAAAAAACAAAAACATTTTATTTAGTTTAGTGATGACGTAATATATGGACAGCCCCTTATCAATTACCATTTCCACCAAATTGTGGGTCTGGGCTACAAATGGTCTTCTTGCTAATAAGCCGCAAAAAGTCTCTCAAAAATTTGGAACTTTGAGCAAGGTTTTCTCAAAACAGTTTCCAAGTATGTGGCAGTACTCCTTTCAGATCTTGCCGACCTGTGTTATAGTATGGAAAATATTATTTTAATAATACATGATGTGTGAGCATCTTATGCACATTACAATATACATTTATTGTCACGAAAATGAGAATTTTAGATTGCGGATGTGATTTGGTTTTCGTTCCCCGTAACCCCTTATTATCTTTATCAGTGAAAAATGCGTACTCATCCCAAATACAACACAGACGTATGTAGGCCTCAAAATTATTTCAAAAAAACCAAAACAATTCTATGTTTGGAGCTTGTTCCGTCTGAGATTAACATTTTGTGTTCTTTTTCAGCTAAACATTGACCTCTGCTTTCCGCTATCAACGTGTAGGCAATTTTTTTACAGGGTATTCATATTTTAAATGGAATATCAATTTTAATATTATTATTTTTCATGTATAACTTATTATACCTTTTTAACCTTTTTAAGTGTTATGCCTTTTTAAAGGGCCTAGGGTATTAAAAGAAACTACCTATCTTCAGTATCAAAAAGTATAAAAGAAAACATCTACTTTGGATGTTAATAATTCTATAATAAAAAAATGCGTTTAATAGGTAGCTCAAAGTCGAAATTTATTAATAAATATTGCTACACCTCGGGTATAAAAAGGGGACGTTTTCGGAGTCAGCATCAGTTTGAAAATTTTAATCAACATGAAACTATTGGTGAGTAAGCTTAGCTGTGGAAAAAGAAACAAAAACTTAAATTGGATTACCCTTTAGATTGTCTTGCTTGCCTTGGTGGCTGCAGTTCTGGCCAGACCTCAAGGAGGATTTGGACCTCAAGGAGGATTTGGAGGTCAGGGAGGATACGGCGGTCAGGGAGGATTCGGCGGTCAGGGAGGTTTCGGCGGACCTCAAGGATATGGCGGTCAAGGAGGATTTGGACCCGGCGGCGGAAACGTCGGACACGGCGGATTCGGTCATGGTGGACAAGGCGGCTATGGAGGTGGACACGGCGGATTCGAAGGTGGTCATGGTGGACAGGGTGGATTCGGAGGTGGTCATCACGGACATGAGGGACATCGTGAACATCATGGCCATCGTGGACGCTTCTAAATTCACGATTTTTTATAACAATATTCTAAAATCATCAAAAATAATTAAACAATTATTTTAAACTATATATCTGAGTTTTATCCCGATGTTTACGTTAACACCTGTTTTCATAGGATTTTATAGTTCAAAGTTATGAATTATAAATTAATTTTTATTGTTCGAATATATGTTTTCACCTAAATAAAGGGACATGTACAAAATGAGAAGCTGACAGCAATGAAAAAAGTAGACATTCAGGTTTTTTTATACCCTTGCAGTGGGTATTATGATTTTAGTCAGAAGTTTGCAACGCAGTGAAGGAGACGTTTCCGACCCCATAAAGTATATATAATCTTGGTCAGCATCACTAGACGAGTCGATCTAGCCATGTGCGTCTGTCCGTCTGTTTCTACGCAAACTAGTCTCTCAGTTTTGAAGCTATCGGCTTGAAACTTTCCCAAAAGACTTCTTTCTATTGCAGGTAGTTGTAAGTCGGAACCGACCGGATCAGACAACTATATCTTATACATAGCTGCCATAGGAAAGAACGAAAAAAAAACCAAAAAATTCTAGCTTGGTTTTTTTTTTTAAGGGGTTATATACCTTTTTTGAGCGAAAAAATTGTGGGAACTTTGGATTTTTTTTTTGGTGTGTAGCAATTATTTTATGACAGTGAAGTTATTATTTATTGATAGTACATGTTCTTATCGAAACAACAAGCCTTTGTTCTTGAAAAAATATGAATAATTTACGAAGTTATGGCAATTCTTTCGGAACCCTTTTTTTTTTATAGCGGCTTGCGGTGACCACGATGGAAGTCCAGCAGGTCAACTGATATCAAAAAACCAAAAATTTTTAGTTAGTATAGTATTATTTTCAGTTCGTGAACGATTACTTTTAAGAATATTTCCTTTTTTCTGCATACAGTAACAATTTTTCCAAAAAGTTGATTTTTCAAGTTCTAAAAATTTTATTAAAAAATTCTGATCTGCGAAATTAAAATTGGCGCATAAAAACTGAATCGTTCACGAACTCGGCACAATCATTAAGAATAATTTAAAAAAAAATTGAAGAAGATCGATCAAATAGCAATCGTGGTCACAGCGAAGGCACTTTTAGAAAAACACGACTTTGAGATAAACGCATTCAAAGTTTTACGTTGACGTTGCAACTATTGAGGTCGAGCGCGTCAAAACGCTGTTTTCCTATCGAACTATTATTCGGATCTGTATGAAAATTTGGGGTGATGTTCTCTAGGGGATATACTTTAGGATTCAGCAAAAAAAAAATTTCGTTTTTTTTTAAAAAAAAAAAGGTATATAACCCCTTAAATATAACCTTATACTCTTGGGGATATTATTTTTTAAATATTTCTGAATTTCGAATTAAATACTTAAAAAATTGGACGACTATATCATATAGCTGACATAGGAACGATCGGAAAATTAATGGAAAACAAGAGAGAACGCTATAGTCGGGTGCCCCGACTATCAGATACCCGTTACTCAGCTAAAGGGACTTTGATCCGCCGTAACTTTTTAACGAATGGTCCGATTTAAAAAATTTCTTCTACATTTCGATAGGTAATCATAAACACAATAAAACTTCATTTTTAGTTTTCCGAAATATTGAAATTTCTAAAATCGTATATAAGCGATTGTGGGCGTTATAGGGGGCGTGGCACCTTTTTGAAACAAACTTGCGCTGCGTAGGAACTCCTAGAATCTGCATGCAAAATGTCAACCTTCTAGCTTTTATAGTTTCCGAAATCTCAGCGTTCATACAGACAGACAGACGGACAGACAGACGGACAGACGGACATGGCTAGATCGACTCGGCTAGTGATCCTGATCAAGAATATATATAGTTTATAGGGTCGGAAACGCTTCCTTCTACCTGTTACATACTTTTGCACGAATCTAATATACCCATTTACTCTACGAGTAACGGGTATAATTAATAGGAAATAAATTCTAGCTTCTTTGGATATGACTCTTTTTAGATATTTCCGAATTTCAATTTTAATTTTATCAAAATTGGACGATTATATCATATAGCTTCCATAGGAAAGATCGAAAAATTAAAGGGAAATTAATTTGAAAGAAATTATATAGCTTCCATAGGAAAGATCGAAAAATTAAAGGGAAATTAATTTGGTTTTTATTGTATTATCTTTTACTCTATAGCTGCCATAGGAAAGGATAGAAAAAATAATGTCAAAATATGAAATTTAAAATTTTTGCGATTTGTAAGTTAATAGGGGTGATCTGCAAGGGTATATAAACTTCGGCTGGCCAAAGCTAGCTTCCTTTCTTGTTTAATTCTAAGTAAATACAAAATAATTGATTAAATTCCGTCCCTTTCCATGATAACCCCTTAGGCACATTATCTTGCTTGCCTTGCCTTGAGCTTTAAATTGCTCAACGCATAATATTCGACTATTCTTTAAAAATGTAATTATAACAATAACAATAATGGCATGTTTCTAGACATCAATAGATTTTAGTTATAGTTATTTCCTTTCTTTGAATAATACATACATATTCCGTTACAGCATTTATAAGCAGCAAAAGCAAGTAACAAGTTACAAACTTATCGCATTACTGTACGATTTATAATTAAATTAAGCATAGGTTAGTAATGCTCATCAATAAAAAATCCAGAAAATTTAATTTATTTCTTTATTCACATAACGATGTAACAAAGCGGTTTCAGGTCAATGTTAAAGACTATCTTCTTCAAATGAGGGAGGATTGGGGAACAAAAGGTAGATTATTGCACGCCTTGTTTAACAAATCATACTCAGGTAGAGCCAGGTACACTTACCCTCTGTGGCACTGAATATGGCATGTTTACTTTTTGAATTGAGCGCAATATACAAACCAAATGCGTTTGACACTGAAGTCAGGATGCCTCGGTCGGATATCCAGGAATCTTTCATTCTTTCAGTAAATACCCCATCAAGAACAGTAGCTGTTGGGATCGGGAAAGTAATGAGGGACCATAGACACACATTGAGGAAGGCACAGTTACTATTTCTTTATATTTTGAAGACTCAGTTTTAATCTAAATAGCAATCTATAGGTTTGTTCAATTGTTTGTTCGGTGTTTTCTTTTATTTCGTTTGTTGTTGTATATGGGCTTTAATTTGAATATTTATTTACAATTTATTTAAGACTCGTTACACCCTCGTTCAAGTCAAATATAGTAACAGTTGCAATAAACAAGCTTTCAACTTATTGCTTACGTGTCTCATCAATATAATTTACAAGAAAAACTTACTTAACGCTAATCTCCGTTGATGTTTCGCTTTATGTATGTGTCTCTGTGCTTCACGCATAATTTACTTTACGGATATTTACCGGCTGCTTATATTGTTGATGCTTCGTTTATTTTGTAGTTATGTGTATTTTTACTAGTGAGAATATTGGTTGGTTAATTGAGAGTATATATATAATCACTATATATATCTGACTTCTATATACCATTTTTAACATTTGTAATTTGTAATGTACGTTCGCTATTACGAATTGGGCTTTTACTATGCGCTTGCGGTTGGTTTCCTTTGTATAAATAAAATAGAATATTTTTCGCTTTTGCTTCGCTTCGAATAATACATGCCATATACATACATATAAGAAAAATGCTCGATTACGATTCTCATAACTTATGGTTCGACGTTAACCAAATGAGGCCCTCGGACAGGCCATCGCCGGATGTGGCACATGATGGTTGTACATACCAATTGCGATCTCTTATTCTAGTTAAACCTAGTTTTTCTTGGATTTCATGGGGTTTCATTGCTGCAAATCAGAGAGAAGAGATGCATTAGCAGGTTGAAAGCACTGGCTAAGGGCAGTAGTTACCATCAGGAAGATCCTGTTTGTTAGCAAATATCAGTATGATGGCGTCGCGCATCTCCCTATCGTTAATTATCCTATGCAGCTCCGTGCGCGCCTCGTCTATCCGATCCCGATCCGCGCAGTCCACCACGAAGATCAGGCCCTGCGTACCCGTGTAGTAGTGTCGCCAGAGCGGTCGAATCTTATCCTGCCCGCCGACGTCCCACACGTTGAACTTGACATTCTTGTAGGTCACGGTTTCCACATTAAAGCCCACAGTGGGTATCGTTGTAACTGATTGCCCGAGTTTCAGTTTGTACAGAATCGCTGTGGGTGTTGAAAGACGAGAAATGAATTAGATTTATGAATATAAAATACACAAATATAAAAGCTTGAATTCGATTTTGGACGAATTAAAGTTTCAAAAACAATTGTCCTGAGTTACAGTTCTATAATATAAAAATCTTTATGATAAACAAGAGCCTATTTTTATTCACCTTTTCGGATTCCATAAAACTTAAGTTAAGAATAAATAAAGACAAATACGTAACAAGGAATTTTTGTAGCTGTATCTAAGAATACTGTTTACAAACCATGTACAATTTCAAATTCGTAAACTCTTTGTATGAGTACAATGTATTTAAGTTTAGTTATTTTTATAGGAAAGACATAACTAACAGATATTTCCCTATAAATACGTAGATCCTATTTTCTTTCCTAATTAAGCTTTTCTTGGCTTGTTTACAAAAGTATCTCAGATTACTAGGTTACAAAATCGAATCCAAAAACCCTTTTTCTATGCTCACTTGTTTTTCCAGCCGCATCCAGTCCGAGCATGAGAATTCGCATTTCCTTGTTGCCGAAAATTTTTGATAGTAGCTTTCCCATGGTGCTGATGTGTCATCCATTAAACCTTAGCCAATCTGAAAGAATCGAATCGAGTTGAGTTGAGTTGGGTTGAGTTGACAAGCGGTTCCGAAGGGGAGATACATGTAGGGTGGGCGAGATTCAGGGCAGGGTCAGTGAATTTCCAGATAATAATGCCATTGTAATACAGTTTGCTTTTCGCCGACAGCCAGTTAACATATCAATTTATGATATAAGAACGCCGACGCGCCAAGGCGCGTAAGTTATACATGTACACATATACATGATATCGTATGATGTACAAGCACGGGCAATTTGGTGGCCATATAGAGCTCAATCGACGGCGGAAGTTAAGAGCATTATTTTGCATAATAATTTCACTTACATTGTTGTCAGCACATCGCTGAAAAGCGAAAAAAAGAAAGAGCCAGAATTTATCAGTGAAGAGCTTCCATCGCACACAGGCACACACCATACATACACACGCTCGTATGTATGTGGGAAGTACAATTGGACAGATAAACAGACTATAGTGTATCTCGTAAATTAAGTCAGAGTTATCTCAATTGCGGACTTATCGCTGGCTCCACTGAATGGGTGGGTGGATGAGCCCCGCCACGCCCCTCGGCCCCGCCCAGCCCACTAAAGCCGGCTTGGGGACTACGAGAATATCGGATGGTTTTCTTGATTCTACGGAATTTCACTCGCTCGCTCTCTCTGTCGCTTGCCTACGTCACAAACACGCCCGTAACACACATATACACACCCAAGTCTCCTGACGACCGCCGTTACGCACCGCTTTCCAGCCCAATTCGATCCACGCCGGCCTAAAATCCGTTAACATGAAGTGCCAAGGTGCGCGGGCCAGGCATAAATTGCATTTGCTAGCACACGGCGGCCAAAAAACTATAACTAACAACAACAATTTTGCGCTAATCTTCTTGTATTTATATTCACATACACGAAACAGTGTGAGTTCACGCGTTTTGCTTGGAAATGCCAAAAGCGCATGTGGGAAAATACCAAAAATACTAGATTTATCGGGTTGACGACAGTGACCAGTCACGGTTTTTGTTTGGTATTCTCGAATTGTAATACTGTGCTCTGCGGTTTGCCTTGAATTTCAACGTTTTGAAATTGTTAATATTACTGAAAACATTAATTTTTAAGCTTATAATTTAAAATTTGTTTTTCCAAAAAGTATGGGTTTCTTTTATTTATTTCGATTTAATTTTCATATTTTAGGAACCACTGTCAAATAAAAGCGTCTACAATCATAATTAGATTACAATCAACATTTATTTTGGTTAAAAAAAAAAAGAGGAAAACTAAAATGTTTAATGATATATTGTTGGGATCCTCTTAAGGCCTGTAAAATGTTGATCAGGCCAATATCTTAAAATTATCGATCATAAAATAGGTCTAGTTTTTTATATAAAAAAAAACGTATGGGAGAGTGGGGGAATTTCGTCACAGGGGCAATTTCGTCACCTGCAATATCTCGAAATCCGTAAGTCGTAAAAATATATAATTTTTTTGTTTTAGTCCTTCAAGACGGCCAGACCCAACCAATGCATTTGTTTTGCACAGAAGGCCAAGATAATTAAGTTATAACATTAAATGTGTTTTAACAGATCAAAAGCTACATTTAGTTCTCAACGAAATTTTTTCTGTATGCCACAATTCAAAAAGAATAAGATACACGATTTTTTATATAATACACAGTGCTATAATGTGCTAATGTGATTTTGAACTTCGCGCCTAGTTTCGGAAGAAAAATAATTATTTCTAAAAAAGTACTGTCTGGGGAAATTTCGCCACCCTATGCTTAGGGTAAATTCTGACCTATTTTAAATACATATTTTTTTATTTGACGAGCTGGCTAACGAACAGACTACCGGCAGCAGCAACAAATATAGGACGTCAACAAAAATGGTACGCTTGATCTGTGTAGCATACTTACAGGCGTAAAGTTCCCTACATTTTTCAGGTGACGAAATGTCCCCAGTTGTGTGGCGATTTTACCCCCCTATGTGGCGAGATTGCCCCAGTATATTGGTTTTACTTTTTAATTTTTTATAAATCACCAAGGTAATTAAAAAAATGGGGGAATGTCACATTTTAAAGCTTGGTGCTAACCGCATTCAACAATAAAAATAGAAATATGATAACGTTTCTCAAGATGGACATAAAATAGCTTTGAAAAAATGCTGACGAAATTCCCCCACTCTCCCTTATTTACTTACATAGTAAAAGTTATAAATATATATTTAAAATAAATGCAAGTAATTGACTTAGAATTCTGTTAACTGTCATACTACAAGTTCGTCACAACTTTAGCTTTTCAAAATATACCAAAAGTATAAAATCGCTCTGGCGATGCTCTTCGAAACCTATCGGTGCGTATCAGCTGTTCAAGAGAGAAATCGGTAGCCAAATCGATTGATTTCAACTCCTTTCCTAATTGTTGTTTTATTTTTGAAGGAAGGAAATTATGGAATTGAGTTAGTCGTCGCACTGCCAGACTCCTCGACTCGACTCCGGAAAACATGGCTGGCATTTGTCCCCGGGAGGCGGTTCGGGTGAAAGTGAAGGCAAGTGAAAGTTCAAGGCGGCCGAAGGGCTAGACAACAAAGGAGCTCCTCTTACTTTATCATATCTTATTTAAATCCCGCACAGAAATGCGAACCCACATCCGCTCGGCCGGAGTGGCGCAAGTTCTCCGTGGACCCGCAGATCACCACTCTGGAGGTTCTCTACTCCCTGCTCGCCAAGGCCTTCGACGTCAAGTCGGACTTTAGTATCAAGTACAAGGCCTTCGATCCGGCGGGCAACGAGATCTATCTGGCCGTGCGCTCCGACTGGGATCTGGACGCGGCCTTCCTGCGGATCCACAACATATCCATTCAGACGTCCTCGGAGCCCTGCCTCATCCTGCAGATCGATGTCAAACCCTTTACGGTGGTCAGGGAATGCGAGCGGGACATGGCCTCTCCGGGTAAATCCTCCTCGGTAGCTGGTGCACCTGCCGCTGCTGCTGCTACTCCCGCCACGCGGGAGCTGATGTCACCTCTGCAATCCCTTGGCGTCTCCCAGAAGTACGTGCAGCACATGCAAACCAAGCTGGGCAGCTCGATCCTGAACCAGATGGAGAAGACCTTCTCCATCGTGCAGAAGGCGTTTAATTTGTCGGAGGAGCACATGGCCAACCTACCGCCACGACCGCCCATGTGCGACAGCGAGTTCCGGCTGTTCCTGGACGCCCTGGGCCAGATTCAACGCAAGGACGAGCTGCACAGGGTCATCTTCCTGGGCGGCATTGATCCCAGCCTGCGGCGCGTGGTGTGGAAGCATCTGCTCAACGTTTACCCGGGTGGCGCCAATGGGCTGGCCCTCGACGGCCATCAGCGGATGGAGTTCATGCGTCGCAAGTCGGAGCAGTACTGCCGCCTGCGGGACACCTGGAAGGCGGCCGTGAAGCGAGGCAGTGTGGCCGGCGAGCTGGCCTACGTGACCAGCATGGTCAAGAAGGATGTGCTGCGCACGGACCGCCTGCATCCGTTCTATGCGGGCAGCGACGACAATCAGAATATCGCAGCGCTCTTCAACATCCTCACCACCTATGCACTCAATCACCCGACGGTGTCGTATTGCCAGGGCATGTCGGACATTGCCTCCCCTCTGCTGGTCACCATGAACGACGAGGCGCAGGCCTACATCTGCTTTTGTGCCATAATGGCGCGAGTGCGCGGCAACTTCATGCTGGACGGGATTGCCATGACCCAGAAGTTTGCCCATCTCACGGAGGCACTGAGCTTCTATGACCCCGAATTCTGGGAGTACCTCAAGTCGCAGCAGGCGGACGATCTGCTCTTCTGCTACCGCTGGCTGCTGCTGGAGCTGAAGCGGGAGTTCCCCTTCGAGGATGCCCTGCGCATGCTGGAGGTGCAGTGGAGTTCGCTGCGCTACCGGAGCGGCGGGGAAATTGAGCTGCCGCTCTTTGAAAAGGTTCGTTTGATGTAAAATACCTATCACTGGTAAACTATTAACCCTTCTTCTCCCACAGGAATTCATCCCTATCAATGAGGCCTCCATGCCCAACAGCGCCAGCACCTTCTCCAGCTCGTACAGTGCTACGCCGACCAGTCCCTCCTATCTGCTGACCAAGCCTCGCGAGAATCCCTACACCAAAGTATGCGCTCTGCGCCGCCAGAGCTCCTCGGCCTCTCTAAGCTCACTGAGTTCATCGCTGGGCACCGGTGGTCAAGCCCTGGACAATACGAAACGGTTGAATCACAGCCTGGACGACAATATGTCGCGTCATGCGACTGCCGCTGCTCGCCGCCAGAGACGCACTTCTTCCAAGGTTCATCAGAGCCTAGACGAAACAAAAATGATGGCGCTAATCGAGGGCGCCATGGACAACACGGCAGTGAAGGCGGCCCAAGAGTTGTCCGCCGGCGAGGAGACCGAAGATGACGATGTATTTGATAGGAAGGAGTCGCCCAGCTTCCTGGAAACCAATCCGTTTAAGGATGATGCGCAGAGGGCGCCAGAAAAAGTGACACCTCCTGTTTCGCCGAGTCGCGCTTTTCTGTGCAGTTCCTCCTCTTCAAACCTAGACGAGGATCCCAGAGAGAGAAAGTCCAAGGCGCAGCACAATAATATCCTGACTGTTAGTAATATCATAGCCAAACAGCTGGCCACGAATGCCAGCCAAGTGAGCGAAAGTATGAAGCGAGTGAGTAACTCCAGCGGTGGCCACTTCAAGGATCTCAAGGAAAAGCTGGCGGCCACTAGTCGCATGGGACTCTCATTTGATGGCGAAGCGGAGGACGATGGCGAGCGGAAGATGCCGCCAAAGCTTGTGAAGAACTTCAACGAATTCCTAAATTTTGCAACTATAAATAAAAATCGAATATCCGATCGATTTGCCAGTCAGCCAACAGCTCCGGCTTCGGTGACCAAACCGCTTGTTCAGCTCACCAAAAGCGGAATGGGCGGCTCCCTGGACGAGTCGGATTCCTCCTCGCTGCCGGAGACCAGTTGGAGTGCCTCAACAGCCGCGACGGCCATTCAACAGGCGCAGGACTTGAGTAGCTACAACTTGCAGCTGGATTTGGAGAGCAATCATCCGTGCGAACCGGACGATTCGAACACACCGGATCAAGAACAGGATCCCGACCAGGAGTACTACCCCATGACGACGGCCATAACTCGTGAGCTGCGCCTGGAGGCCGAAAATCTGGATCGTCAGGTCTTCGGGCTGCCCTTCACGGAGACCGAGAAGCGGGACGACATCGAGTACGAGAAGCTGGACAAGGACGCACTGGACTTGGTGGAGGATCTCAAGGAGAACGAGATCATCACCTGTCCCGATGTCAGCGAGCTGCATATGCGTCGTCGCCAGCGACTGGCGGCCAAGAGCAACAGCGTCCAGCAAAACGAGTCGCATGCCTTTAATCCCTTCATCGACGAGAGCCAACTTCTCACGGATGGCCACAATCCGCTGGGCATGCGGAGCAGCAGCAGTCTGCCCGAGGTCATCCTGCCCATTTCCACGGAGCCCAGTTTGGTGGAGGTGTCGCCCTTGGTGGAGATCGCCACGAATGCCGACGATGAGAGCGCCTACACGAGATCCCCGCAGCGTTCAAGCCACTTGAATGGGGTCAGTGGGCTGAATGCCACGGCGGCTGCGCTGCCTCCGCCCTCGGAATTCGGCGGAGGCAATGCCTTCCTCATGTTTCTCTGCCTCACCCTGCTGCTGCAGCACCGGAACACGATCATGAAGGCCGGCATGGACTACAACGAGATAGCCATGCACTTTGATAAGATGGTGAGGAAACACGATGTCACCCGGGTGCTCAATCAGGCCAGGCGGATGTTTGTGGAGTACCTCAAGGCGCAGAGCAGCCCTCAGCGCCAGAGATCTCCGAATGGCTCTGTTTCCACGGGATCCTCGGGCGCCAACTTGACTGCCTCGATGCCGGCGTAAGGTATTCCTTAGTGTTCCCACAGTTTGGACTACCCGTTAAGTTAACCAACTTCCTGAGTATCTATCTCCATGCTAGATTTTATTTTGATTTATGATGATGAAATATTTGACTTAACCAGAAACCCATAACCTTATTTAGAGTTTCCATTTTAGCATTAAAGAAAAGCTTCCACTCTCCAAAAGTATTTGGACTCGCCTCTTATATAAAAAAAGATCTCTCGCCCCATGCCCTCTATTTAATATGCAACCCCAAATTTCACGAAAGCTTCACTTGATATATCCAAAAACTCAAAAGTAGTCTTGCTCAAGGTGGATGACAAATTGTAAAACCAAAGTCTTCTTTTTGTACGTATACGGATTTTGTACTTTCTTATTTTAAATTAAGCTCTTATTTATATTTATTCATACATGTTTGTAGCTGCACTTTGCCAAATGATCAAACGCAGAGTGTTTGGTTTGATATCACTTTATTTCACTAGTCTGCTAAAGCATTCCATGCTCTTATTAAGATTATACTTTTAAGTTGAATATAACCGAATTAACTATGATCTTATTATCTTTAGACGTTCTGTATCTTAAAAAATCTCTAAACTCAATCGGAAAACAAAGTAATTTTGTAAAATAAAAGTAAAAGTTAACGACCTATGCTATGTAAAGTTACGAAAACCAACTTTTAAACAATCGATTAATAAACGAATTCGAACAATTTTCAAAGCCTACAATTTATTGGAATCAAAACATGCTTCAAGTAAAAAAAAATCAAAATCACTTCACACGAAACAATAATACGAACATAAATCAGAGGACCGGCAATTCAAAAGTTGTATTTTTTCTTTAGCCGCTCGCGAATGAGGACACCCTTGATCAGTTTCCTCCAGTTTCCATAGACGCGGGCCTCGTACTTCTCTTGCTCCTTGCGGACCTGCTCCTGCTGATCCTCCTCCCAGGCGGCAGTCACCACATCGCGGAACTCCTCGCAAACAATGAAGCCATCGTACATGGGATGGCAGGCGCCCTGATGGAAATCGAAGCCAATCACCGCATTGGCACAATCGATATTGAGCTTCTTGCAGACGCGCATCAAACCAGGCACTAAAATTAATAGCGGATTGGATTATCACGATCGATAAAGAAATATTTGCCTTACATCTCAGGTGCACCGTCTTCTTGGGCAGCATGCAGGCCTTGAAGAGCTCCACATTGCCGTAGGCATTGCGCGGCACAATTCCATTCTCCGCCGTAGGTGGCTCGTAATCCTGCGTTTGCCAATAGCCGAAGATCTCTAGTGGCTGGTCCTTGATAACAGAGCGAGTGAGCTGAAAGATTTATAATTAGAAAATAGTAAATACTGTTTAGAATGCAAGCTAATTACCTTATCCCACTTGGGACGCGCCTTGACCACTTTGTAGGGCTGCTCGCCCAGCTTAACAACACGGGCGCTCTTTAGCCAGATATCGCGAGAGTGCAGAAGATGCACACAGTCCCTGGAGTAAACCGCTTCGCCACGGATAAAGCCCAAGGTGGGCGCATCCGGCGGATAGAGACCCTGGAATTTCAGCAAGTGCCTTTCCAGAGCATAAAGCGGATGGTCCTTGAATTCGCCAATTGACTTGGGCAGTGGTTTATTGGCATGGATGCGGCGCAGCTGTTCATCCTCCTGAATGTCGCGCTTGGTGCGACGCCCGAGATAAGGCGCGATGGTTTCATCTAACCAAGCTTTCTCCACACGCGACTTGCGCACAGTGGTGCACCAACTAGAGCAATATCGGGCGGTCACATCTTTCAAGCTCTGATCGTCCTGGAAGGCAAAGACGTAGGCCAATCCTGGCGTTGCATTTTTCTGTGGAGTTGGGAAATTTACATCAGGTATAGAATATAGAATCAGTATATAAACTCACTCTTATCGTATCCACGCAGTGCAGTTTTCCCTTGAACAGATCTATGCAGATCCACTGCTCCTCCACCTCGGACCACACCTCCACCCACATGTCAGAGGCGTCCAACTTCCGCTTAATTCTCGAACCGCCCTCATCATCCGTGGACATCACTCGCCGATCCTTGCGCAGATTTTGCACCGACTTGGGCAGCACAGGCGCCTTCTTCACCGGCTTGGCTGGCTCGAATACCTCATCGGAATCTTGTGAATTCTTCAGCTTCTCGAGGCGTAAGCGCTTTTTCGGCAGCGGCACATCGTCGCCACCGTCCAACTGGGGAATGGCCAATGAACTGGACTTTTGCCCTCGGTTTCGCAGCTGACGACTGGGCACAGCTTCAGACAGAAAACTGGGAGAAATTCGGGCCTTGGTATCCGGGCTCTTTTGGTTCTTTTGAGGAGCTGGAATGGGATCGACTGCAGCGGACTTGCTGCCCAGAAAAGTCGGAGAGATGAGTACCTTGGGGGATTTGCTTCGCCGTCGCGGTTGCTCCTGTGAAGGTTTCTCCGACGGATTGGCATTCTCCGCATCACTGTGCTTGGCATTCAGCTGCTTCACCTTGGACAACACAAGTTTGGGTAAGACTGGGGATCCAATCAACTGTGGTTTCTCCTCTGGTTCTCCTCCTCGTTTCTCTGCGGCCCTGCGTGTGCGACCGGCCACTGGAGAGAAGGCTTCCAATGGAGCCATCCTGGATTTCTTGCTATCGCCTGCCTCGGCAATATTTTGAGTGGTGACCCTTTTCAGCAGGCTCGACTGTGGTTTGACCTTGGCCACTGGGGGGGAAATACTAAGAGCCGCCTTCGAGGTACTTGGTTTGTCCTCAAATGAAGTATCAGATTTTTGGTCTTTTGATTTGCCAACCAATTTGGAGGACAGACTTGGCTTCACAACCTTTTTGTCCTCTTTTTTGGATGTATTTGGTTTAGGAGGTTCCGTTTTTAAGGGTTTAGAGCTGGATGGTTTCTCTTCAAAAGAAGTATCGGACTTGCTGGAACTATTGCTTTTATGTTTGGATTTTTGAACCAGTTTTGAGGAGAGACTGGGTTTTACAACCTCGGTATCCTTGGTTTCTGAAGCTTTTTTTGTGGTTTTGGAACTGGAAGAAGATTTGCTGACAGGTTTACTGCTCTCCTTCTTCGCACATTTCTCACTGCTTTTGCTTTCAGCCTCTTTGGAAACTGTTGCCTTACTGCCAACCTTTTCCCGCTTTGCATCTGCTGCCTTCGCTGGCTTCTTATGCTTTTTGGGCTCCTCATCCTCGCTACTCTCCTCCTCCGACTTCACCGTCTGGCTTTTGTTCTTCTCATCCGGCTTAAGTTTGATGGGAATCAAATCACTAGCCGACGGACGCAGCGACATCGGCTGGAGATTCACAATCAGACGGCAGTTCATCCCCATTCCCCGCGCAAGGACAATAAATATGAAGATCATATCCTGCTTGCAGCGTGCTTCCTTGCGCTTGATCTGCTCCAGCAGAGCCGCTATAATGGACTCTTTGCTGGCCGACGAGTGCTCGGAATATAGATTGGGACTCAGCAGCTTGATGGCCGTTTTAAACCAGGTGACAAAGGACTGCAGATACTTGAGTTCGGTGCCCCGCTCCGTGGGATAGGCATTCCGGCTGGGCAGGAGTTTAAGGGCGGCCTGCATCAGGGTATCTGATTCGCCCAGCAGGCGGTTGTACTTCAAACTGCGGGCGATCTGGCACATCAGGCTGACCTTGTGCATCAGCAACTGGCGGTCCTTGATATCCCGGTTGAGGCGACGCTTTAGGGCCATCTCCAGTTCATGCTGCGTCTTCTGCTCCTTGGTGGGACGCATGTTTTGGAGGCCCACGTGGATCTCCAGGTCGCCGGAGATGTTTGGCGTGCCGCCGTCGTCCTCGTCGCTGGAAAGATCGGCATCTGCAAAGGGAATCGGAATCGGGGTGATGATGTGGCACTGATCTGAGTGATATGCAGTGATGGAAAGGGTTTAGTTTGTATCTGTGGGGACATATATGTCCCAAAAGATATTAGAAGTTAAAAATGATATTGTATACTCAATTATAAATTTCGAAAATAAAAAGGAACTTTCCAATATATCTTATTACATTGTTGTAATACAAAGAAGTTATTTAGATATTTTTAGAGTAATTAATTAATAAAAAATATCAAAATTTTTGGGCAGTAAGTAATATAAATGTTAGTAACTAAGAGCTTCCCATCACTGATGATTATGCGGGAGGATCGGGCAGGGAAGGCAGGCTAAAAACACCCAGACAGAGAGCATGGATTCCTTTCAACATTTTGCATTTATTTATTTATATCATTTAAAGTGCATTTTAAATTTCAATCATTGAGTTAATTACAATCAACATTCACTAAATTGCGCTAAAATTACGAGTTTCATTGGATTTATTATTGCATCGTTTATTCGAGAGTATATCGTTAATTAATTAGATGTCGTACTCTGCATGCAGATTTGTATGTTAAGTGAATACAATTTTGCTAAAGTAAATTCGTTAAACATCAGTTCTAATTCGTTAGCTACTTGTTAATTTCTGTGAAACACTTGCAATTGCCATAAAGTAAGTACACAAATAGTTGACTAGGCCATTTTACTAGCTATTAAAAATTATTTTTGTATATTACTGGTTTTGCGTTTAAAATCCTCTTGTATTTCATCATTTTGATTTGGTTAACTGGAGTCTTTTGGACTTTTACGTGTTTCGCGTGGCAAACTGAAATTGAAAACTCACTAAAACAATCAAAATAAATGCATTTTCTGAGTAAAGTATCGTAGATTAACAGATTATTTCGAGCTGTGTGTGTGCAGACATTTAAACCACGTTTAGAATTCGGTAAACATTTAGTTATGGCTTTGACTTTTCATCCATTTAACACGCAGATTGAGCTTAAGCTAGTGCAAAAACGTTTAAAAATGTTTGGTTGATTTCGTTTTGATTTCTTTGATATTGAAAAAGAAACTTTGTTTGATTTTAACAAGCTTTTATGATAAGTTTTCCATTGAATCTTTCTATCGACGTTCTATATTCTGTCCCGCGGACAACTGGGTATTTTGGCTTGGCATCTCCCGAATTTAGGGCATGCATCAACGGACTCATGGCCTGGTTAGTGGGTATAAGTAGGTTAGTAAGCCAAGTTGCTGGATAAAGCGTTCTCAGCGTTTCGTACGCTAGTTCCTCAGTCTAATCGACTAACAATATGTTACAGTAAATAGGTATATTGTAGATTCATGGCCATTTTTTTGACGCGGCTCTTCCAAATGTACATTCATGCATACAGTTGCGGTCGAAATAAGAGCATTGCATGTTGCAGCTTCTATATATTGAGTTATGTGTACAATTTTCAAGGTAAAAAGGATGTATTGTTGGGTACAAACTCTAATATTTAGATAAATATGAACAGAAAACGGATGGTTATCATTAATTTAACATTAAATGGCTATACACAAAACATTTAACATAATATCTCTAATAATTGAATATATTCCATATAAATCATGCTCTTATTCTGACCGCAACTGCACAGATCGGTTAGTAATTTCTATCTCTTCACATCGACAAATAAACTTAGTACAAACAAAACTACACAGTCTCATACAGAGCAATTTGGAAGCTTATTTTTTGTTCATCAGATACCAGAAATGCCAGCGCCACAACCAACTTGGGTAAGCATGCTCCACTGCCTCCTGCCAACGCCATCTCTTCCTGGAGATCGGCCTTCGAACTACTTGCATTTTCGCCTACCTGCCACTTCCTCAAAATCGGAATCATCGGTGTCGCCGCCATTGGCGACCACAGTGGACACGGGTCGCGTCTTGGTGTGGCGCTTGATCCGCGTCGACTTGGTCTTGCTCAGGCGCGACGGTTCATCCAGGGACGGGGGCGCAGCCGGTGGTGCTCCTCGTGCTCCTCCAGCCCTTCTTCGCTGATTCCCCTCCCGTTCCTCCACCTCCACCACACTCTGGTAGTTCTGGTTCTCGCCCAATGCAAGCAGCGCATTGACATCCATCGTGGCGGCCTGACTCCTCGGCGGAGTGGCCGTGACATTCCTCCTGTTCAGGGCATCTCTGGTGCGCTCCAGGCTGTTCGCGTTCTCCAGGAGACCGCGAAAGTCGAAGGCATTGCCCGCCTTGTCCTCGAAGCTGCTCTCGTTGTTGTCCTCCGATCCGGAGCCGGAGTCCGAGAGATTCGTGATGCCCGCATTGCAATCGAATTGGGGCGCCGGCGACTTCTCCTTCTCCTTCTGGCCGCCGCCGGCGAAGAAGGTCGAGTGCAGATCGAGATCGGCGGGATTCACCAGGTAGTCCTCCACACTGGATTCGCTGCTGGAATCAGCAGGGTCGTGCTGATCCCGTGCACCGCTTTCATTGGGCGTTCGCGCGTTTTTTGAACCCGAAGCGCGGGGCGAGTTATCCTGCTGCTGCTGCTGGGATGGTGAAGTGGCGAAGGTCTTTGGGGGCGGTCGGTACTTGTTGTACAGCTTGGAGCGCAGGGATTGACCACTGGGCTTGCGCTTCTTCACCGAGGAGCCCTTGATGCCGCTCGGCGGCTTGTGATCGCTGCGGGGGCAGGAGGATTAGGTGCGTTATTGGAGGATTCTGTGGGAATCACTTACCCCTTCTTTCCAGCTACCGCGGAGGATCTTCCGCTGGAGCCCGCGGCTCCTCCTCCTCCCTCCGCCTGCAGTTCATCGAACTCGCTGTCATCGTCGTCCGATGACTCGCCTCCCTTGGCGTCCTTGCTCGGCTTCCACTCGTCCTCGCTGGCCGAGAAGCCCTCGGACACGGAATCCTCCTCCTCGTCGGACATCTTCCCTTCTCCTCGGGGGCGCTTTACATTTATGTATCGATGCGTGCCTCCTGCTTATTGATTTTTACTGCGCAGTTTTTTGGGGCACGCGTTACACAAGAATATCCTCTGGGCGCTCCGCCTCCTGTCCACCTGGGGTCCTTTGTTTGGTTGACAAGTTTGTGCCTGTTTGAGCTCGGTTTTTGGACGTTTTAAATCAATTGCGAAATTCACATTTTCGCGCTTGCAATATAAGTATGTCCGACTTTTTGGCCCAGAGGTGGGTTTTTTTTCGTGTCGTGTTTTCGTGCGTGCTGGCAATTCGTGTTCGTGCTGTGTCGTGCTAAGTTAACAGTGACGCGTTAACAGCAGAGTTAGCAATGCGCACGGCCTTGAGTGGAAATTGCACTGCGAAGTTATCAGTTAAAAATAGGATAAACTCCAAACTTTAATAGAAAAAAAATTATAAAAATAATAACAAAATAAAATTACAAATTAAAAAATTTATAAAAGTGAATTATTTTATACGAATGTATATGGGCACTTCCAAAATGTCGCTCGGGACATTTGCACACCTTTAAAGTTGAAAAAAAAATTGTAAAACAATGGATTTTAATTTTAATTATGGGCTTTTCTTTTCACTCTTCCCAAGCTCTATTTTTGGTAAAAATCTTGATTTTGTACCACTTTTAGTTTTTAAGATATCGGTAAAAAACTGCCGTATTCGCTCGGGACAAAAATAGAAGTGGATTTCGGGGAAGTATGAACTTCCCAGAAATTAGGGAATTCTGATGGAATATTTGAATGCGATTTTTTTAGAATGTTGTTCAAACATGTCGCTGTGAAATGCTTTTGGTTTTACTCAAAAATTCTTTGCCGTTTTTTTTTATGCAGTTTCAACCACATTTGGTTGGGACATTTTTTCCGACTGTTTTGTAAAGCGGATTTCTTTACCTCTATCTCTCAATTACTGGATGTTTTGCTTTTAACTTAATAGTTTAGCATGTGAATGAAGCATTCAGTACAAAAAAATGCCACATATTAGCATTCCTATAGGATAAATTAACAACAGAAGACAGGTCCAAAAAATAACAAAAAAATAGCCAAAAACTGATTTTTGCGTATATTGGTGGGGTTTGTCATAAAAATAATCAAACTATAATCCAAATTTGTAGTTCAGCTCAGTATCCAACTAATTAGAAACTAATATCGGGGCAAAATCATGTGGAAATATGTTTTATTCAAGTTTCAAGGTTTTTGGCTTGGTGGACTTTTTTTTGGAAGTGCCCATATCCTTTTTCGTCACAATATTTTATATCAGATCTTTGTGTGTAGAAGGTGCTACAAACTTGATTTTAAAAAAAATTGTCATTGGCTAATATCTTGTGAAAAATTCTTTGAATCAAACTTTGTAAGGTAGTGTAAGTTTTCAAAATTTCTGGTTTTACTTTTTCCTGAAATTACTTAATTAAGGAAAAACAATTTATATTTATTATAAAAATAATTATTTTTATATAAATAACTTAACATAATAAGGTCATAATAAAAATAATTTCCTTTTGTTTTTAATTAAATACAGTTTAAATTTAACTCAACTCGATAACTGGGCCGTATCGAATATACAATAAGCGTATCGAGTATTAATGCCAAAACGCTAATGGTGTAAAAAATCGGTTGGCAGCGCGCTAGTAAAAATAGGTTGGCAGCTCCCATTCAATGTTTATTTACAAAATTAATTGAAATTTTCATAAAAATGAATTCCTCCGGAGAACTGCATCCAAATTGGCTGGCCCTGACCACACTGCCACTGCAGCTGAAGCGGTTCGTCCGTGCAGGAGATCCGTATATTGTCCCCGAATGCCCGAAAGCGATTAAACACCAAATTGATGGACTGAATGGAGCGGAGGCTCAGGAGTTCTACAAGGAAGTGCTGGATGCTCCTACCACCAGTCGAGTTCCAGTTTCGTGTTCTAGTAAATTAAAGGAAACAAAACGCATTGCCAAGAAGCCCAAACTGCCTTTTGATAAGAGCAAGTTCTTCCGTTTGGCAACCAGTAACCAAGTGGAGGAGCTGTCCCAAATGGAGATCTCTGAGGAGGATCTGAATACACGCGATTCGTTTGGCTGGTCGGCCCTGATGATGGCCGCCTGTGAAGGAGCCACCGACTCCGTTGCTTGGCTTCTCCAGCAGGGAGTCCATGTGGAGACAACAGACAAATCCGGAAATACGGCTCTTAAGCTGGCCCAGCGAAAGGGGCACTCGGAAGTAGTGCAACTATTGAAAACTCTAGCCATTCCCGAAGAAGCCAGTGATGAGTATGAGTCAATGGACGTCAACAGCCCATTTTACTGCGAAATCTGCAAAAGGGACTACAAGGAGACCCCCTGGCCCGAGCATCAAACCTCCACCGTGCATCAGTTCAATCTCAAAGCCCTGCCTGCCCACAAACTGCACAAGTTCAATATATCCGCCAAGAATAGGGGCCTCCAGTTGATGGTGAAACAGGGCTGGGATCAGGAACACGGATTGGGACCCAGTCAAAGTGGACGACTGTATCCTGTAAAGACGGTTCTTCGCAAGCAACGCACTGGCTTGGGAATCGAACAGCCGGTGGCGAAGGTCACTCACTTTGGAGCCTTTGACTTGAACGCTGTGAGAAGAAGGCATCCCATTTACCAGCCGAGACGAACGCGGAGCGATATGCAGCGGGAAAAGGTGCGAGAATGGAAGCGGGAGCGGCATCTGCGCAGGGAATTAAGCTAAAATTGTCTTACAGATAAAGCTTATGGTGATTTAATTGTAAAATATTTGTGTACTTGAATAGGATTTTACTTTAAGATGTTAAATTAATATTAATTAAAACATTAATATAATAAACTTGAAATTTATTGACACTACTTTTAAAGATTTTAAGAATTATGTACTGATAAAGTTTAGAAGAATTTCTGACTGGCACAAATGATCAACTGTTTTCGTACTTTTGTATTTCACAAGACAATAGCAAAAGTTTTTATAGCCGCTTAACCATTAATCATCGGCCGAAAGGCAAATGCAAATTTGATAATAGGTTAGAAAAAAAGAATTCTGAATTCTAAGCATTAAAAATTAAATTATAAAATTTAAAATGATTTCCTTTACACTCCTTTGATCTCTTATCGACCTTGCTTATCCTAATCCTTTCCAGCGCCACCTAGCGCTAACCTAGTTGGTTATGCGATTCAGGATGCGGATAATTGTTAGGAGGAGTGTGGGTCTTGGGCAATGCTGTTGCATGTGCTCTCTCTCCGGCTCCGCGGCTCTCTCCCTGACATCCTGACCCTGAGGACGCGAGTTGACACGGTTTCGCTTTGCGCCTGCGTCCTTGTGCCGTGCTTTTTGGCCCCGCGCTTCGTAGCGGTATAAAAGGAACTTCTCCGAAATCCTGCACTCAGTCGTGTTCGGACTGCTGTGCGTTTGGGGTTCCCCGTTTTCTCGTACCGTTAGCAAAAGGCGGCCGCGGAGTGCAATAAAAATAAGTTAGCAGTGCGTGTTTTAAAGTTGTACTCGCACGCTCGGCAATTAAAAGCGAAAAGTGGGAGTGAGTGGTGCGGCCCCAAGGTCAGCAAGGCAGCAAACAGGCGTTCCACTTAGGTAAACAGCATAAAAAGTGAATTATTAAAGCGACTGGCAAAACGCTTTGCTCAACGGTCGGAAGTTATTTTGAAATTCAAAATGTTTATTCCGAATTTCGAGGCGATGGCAACCCTGGCGCCGATCAACACGAACAGCTGATTGGCGTGCTCTTGTGTGTGTGTGTGTGAGAGCGTTTTTGCGGCCGAGCGTCGCTCGAATTTGTTGTTGTTGGTGCTCCAATGTGTGCGGTTCGCTGCGCGCATTTAAATAATTTTTAAAATAATTAACAAATATGCCGACGAGCGTTATCGTGTGCCAGTGCTTTTTTTGTGTCGCTCCGTGTGCCGTGTCCCGTTACCAGCTTTAAAGCCCAAAAACGCGCCGTTGGCTAAAATTACACTTACTTATTTCTGAATAATTAAACTAAATAACGCGGCCATGTGATTACACCGTGGGTGATAACAAAAAACGCTTACAAATCGTCGCCATAGCTCGGTTTCTCCCATGAGATTCTGCAATATTATTTAATATACGCTCCGATGTTCTTGGGCCTTAGCTTTATGGTTTATTTTCGTAGCATTTATTTCGGTGATTTGTTTGGTTTTGCATTGAACTATGTACATATCGTGCGGCTCTCTTCGCTCCGCTCTCTCTTTGCGTATGGCCCTCTTGCTCTCCGATCGTCATTGCCAGCCTCCCCCTCTTTTTCCAACCCCCCACCGCCACCCCCTTCGATCAGGGCCCTCTCCATGAACTTAACTTGTTGGACTTTTGCAGGGGCGGATAAAAAAGGGGGTATCTTAAAAGACTTGATTTCTTGATTTTTCATTATTTTTTGGAACATCTATAGAATTTTGGTTAGTTTGGATTATTTAGCCATTCTCTTGGATTAAACATTTAAAACATCAAAGTGATATGAATTGATTTGATACAGCTTATTTTTTATTGAACTATTCCCCTACCCCCATCTGCATCTGCCACTGGACTTTTTACACGGCATTTCCCTCCCATTAGCCCCATTCGATTCTATTATTTAGACAACACAATGCTATAACCAGTCAAGTGAGGCGGGGGGTGGCGAGGGGCAAAACAAATCGGAAAAAAACTAAATAGAATATTTTTATTATCTCAACGATTCCCTGGAATGCTGCGAATCTGTTCCAAGCTCTGTACACTTTTTGAAAATTAAACAGTCCCTTCTTAGTCATCACTTCTATTTACTTCAGGCGATTATGTTTTTCTAAGAACAGTCTCATTCGCCTAAGTGAAATTATCTTTCGGATTCGTACAGTAATTTTTACATTTTAAATTTCTAAACGCAAAGTTTAACTTCTTTATGGAAATATTCATCAAATTTATACATGCTCAACTTGTTGAATGAAATGAAAAATATTAAATCTAAAAGTATTTTCGTAAAAATAAAAGTGAGTCGCTCTTTTCTTAGTCATCTTTTTTATTTCCTCGAATAAAGTCACCCAAAATCGACTTTGAAAAAGCAAGACGTTATTCCCTTTTGGGGAATGTTATTCAATATTTTTACTTAAATCTAGTAAAATTCCACCACAAGTCATAACCATTAATGTTTCGAGCTATAGAAGTTCAACTGTATTAGCAGAAGGCCAAGCAAACAAAACTCGTAAATCTTTAAAAATCGTAAACCAAACAAATGTACAAGAGCCAAAATGAAAATGCTAAATGTTTATTATTGTAAAATAAACCAGGAGAGGCGGACCGAAGATAGCAGAAATGAGATAAATGAAATGCCAAAACTTCCGGGTCATTGCCTGAACGCAATGGCAATGCCAATGGCAAAAGTCAAGTATTTACCCCCCAGAGTGGAAAATCTCTTCTTTCTGAGGGCCCTTCAATTTCCATTTTCCTTTGTGCCGCAAAACTAGAACCGAAATATCTGCGGATAGTTAAAATAAATTGCAATCAAACGAAACTAAGCAAACACTCGGATATTATATTATTTGAAAATTCCTAATTGCTAAACATCTGAAATGCCTGGCGTTTAACCCCTAGATTGTTTACCCGAAAAATAAATACAAATACCCCGCCAACATTTTGCGGAGACCGACATAATAACCATAAAAGCAATTACAACAATTATAAACAACAATATCGAAATGAGCAATACAAAGCGCATGAACTTGAAAAACACATTTAAGCATGCTTGATCCAATATTCGGGCATCCAGGTCTTAATAGTGTCTACGAGAAGAGCCCCAGAAGCAACAGAATCATCAAAAAAAACGGCAGCATCCACAGTTTCGTTCATTCAGCATCAACTATACCCTGAGACAAGTATTACTGCTCCAACGTTTTCCGCCTGGCCGCCTTTTCCGAGTCTTTTAAGTGTTTTCCCAGGTAAGACCAGCTAGATAAATGCAAATTAATTCGCAGGACGCTAGTGAGTGTTTGTGCACAGAGAGAAATAATGCAATACATAGAAATAACAAAAAATTAAATAGAATCACAAGTTTAAATAAATTAGGTTATTATGGTTTGTAATTTTAATTTTCTAAAATAAGAAACTGAATTTAAATTTCAAGTAAATATTTGCTTTCAAAACAAATAATAATTAATATCCCTTATTTCTTAAGGAATTTAAAGTTGGTAAATATTTTGATCTTAAAGAGCGCCAAAAGGAATCAAAATTTCTTGAGATCCGCGAGTGTGTGTGTAATTGGCAGGACCATGGCGGCATAAATCTCTCACCTGCAGGAATTTTCTAATATCGCGAAGGTGTTGCATACCAAACGGTGCTTGAAATGAGCAATTTGCCAAAAACTTTCGGCATAAATTGCTGCCCGAAAATCTCCGACCCCCCTTGAAGCGACGCCCATGGATGTGAGTGTGTCAGTGGCAGGGCGAATGGAAAAAAAATTAACAGAAATTAGGCCTGAAGTTTGTTGGCAAGCTCGCAAATGTGTTGTGGCTTAAAGGGATAAAGAGCTTTGCGTAGAGCAACAGCAGTAATTAACATTAATAAGACGCAGGCTAGTGGTAGAGGAGGTTTCTTGGGGTTTTCGGGGGAAACCAACTGACGACCGAGTGACGGGCCCCATATTACTCATTCGCAAGACGTATGCATGTGATTTAGTGGGACGGCCCAACTTTCCAGACAACTGTTTTCTCCCTAGTTTTTTGCTTTTTCCCACGCAAGGCCACGCATTTTGAAATATGCACATAAATTAGAAATAATGTGCGTGCGACTTGTTAACACGCCCGATGATGGAAAGTCCTTTAACAAAAAAATATACAAAGGCACGCTCGAACTTTTCCCGGCCAAACTTTAACCCCGAAAAGTGTCCTGTTGCGGCCAGTGTCAACATTTCAATAGCCTCTTAATTGCCCCATGAAGGGCTTGACATTCCGTAGAGTGGCTACAGCTACAACAAAAAGATTGATACATTAATTAAGCCCGGGCTATGGAAGCTCCCGCTCGATTTTCCCCCCTTTAGCCTGTGTTTTCCTTCATTGTTGCCACTCTTAATTGGCTTTTCCGGGAGCAGTGCAAAAGGTCAGCGAAGTTTGATTAAATTTCTTTAAAAAAGTGAAAGAAGCCTAATTGAATCCTGATTACGGGTTGAGCCAGCTTCCTACGCAGCCAACGGGTAACTATCGGAAAATGCGAAAATCCCAGCTCGTTTGGCGACGTTTTATTAACGTGCCATTGACTCTCGAGACTAAATGTGGCAAAAATGTCAGTCATTCAGTCAGTGAGTCGAGTCGCTCGGTCGATAGAAAGTGGAGAGCCATTCGATTGAGCGTGTAAAAGTGGCTCAGCCAAGGCGACACATATCCGGCTAGAAGGATGCCAAAACTTGTGGCAGCGGCCACAAAATCCATTGGAGCGCGAAATCGACTTAATGCATTAGTCGCCGGGAAAGTGGAGAACGTCAGAAAGACACGTAGAGCAAACATTTGCGGCTTACGAGTGCGCATATATGTACGTACATACATAAACTCCGGAGTCCATAGTCCGTAGGAGCCTCGCTGAGGTGAGCATAAAGCCCGGCGGTATAAAATTGAAAATTATGACAGGCTGTTGGCAACAATGTCATCGTGAATCTGGCGCAAAATGCAAGTGCCTCGAGAGGTGGCAACAAAGACGTGGCAAAATGGCTGGCAAAATCCTCGGCCAAA